CCCCCCCCCCCCCCCCAGTTTACCAAGACATTGAATCTTTTGCCATGCGCATTAGAGCGCTTTTCGATTGAGTGTCGTAAGACCTAAGCCACAGTAATCACAACGGCTAATCAGTCGAAGGAAAGTTCCTTTAGGAGCTAGTGAGAACTCAAAGTAAAGCCTACAAAACGCGAGCGACCTGGTTCTGATTGGTTTCAAATTTTACATCTGATTGGTTGAGAGAGTGGCGCGAGTTTTCTGGACCAATCACAGACCAAAGTATGGCAATTACAAGAAATTCCAGATACCTTCGACACCCAATTGAAAATTGCTCTACAGAAATGACTGAGGACTAATGAGTAAAAAAAGGCCAAAACCGAACCGAGCCATTAACACTTCTCTCTTGCGGAAATTAAAAATGTGAGTATCAACCCCGAAGGTATGAAGAGCCTGATGAATAAAGGGGGTAAGTTTCTAAAGAAACTCTGGTACTGCATCGGTGGGAGAGAATAATAGGGTAATTTAGTGTTATCAACTAGGTTGAAAACGTAAATTGGCCACCATGAAGAGTTTAAAGGCTGATGTTTCGAGTGTTATCCCTTCGTCAATCGCTCTGACGAAGGGCTAACGCTTGAAACGTCAGCCGCTAAACACCCTACGGTGGCCAATTTACGTTTTCAACTCAGTTGACAATACTAAATTACCTTATAAACAGCCTGGTTGACTCCACCTCACCTGTCCTGAATATCAGGATGGTCTCCTAGGTCAAGAACACAAAACGCCAACAAACTGGAGGTAGTTTCATGACCTACAACGAAAAACAAACAAAACTTAAACAAAGTTACTCACTCTGTGGGACAAAAGAAAAGGGGAAAACAGTTGAGGCGTTCATCCTTCCTAATTTGGAACTGTTATACTGAAGTAGTACATACATGTCCAACGGGTTCCTGCTAAATTGACCAACTTTCAGGTTCATATTGGGATAAAGGGGGTCAGTTTCTAAAGAAACTGTGGTGCTGCATCGGTGAGGGAGTATACCAAGATAATTTAGTGTTATCAAATGAGTTGATAACGTCAATTGGCCGTCGTGAAGAGTTTAAAAGCTGACGTTTCGTGCCTTAGCCATTCCTCAAAGCGATGAACGAAGGGCTAACGCTAGAAACGTCAGCTTTTAAACTCTTAACGGTGGCCAATTGACGTTATCAACTCAGTTGATAATACTAAATTCCCTTGTCATAGTGAGGTAGACTAAAGGGTTCTAAGAACCGTAATATATCATCGTAATCTCATCGTAACATCGTAATATATATCGAAAACGCCGCAACAGCGTCTCGAAATTCAAGCAAATACCACAATCTTTAACCTTGGGATTAAGTTTAGAGCAAATTACTTGTTACTACAAAATCATATCATAACACGATTTTTTCAAGAACGCTGTACAGAAAGGTTATTTTTGATTTAGAGAAACAACTATATAGAAAATTTCAAATCATTCACTCAAAAGATAGAAATTACAAATATTAAATACCAGCGATGAAGAAAGTCACAAAATCATCCACTAAGTCTTCAATTCCAAGCTCAGGAATTTCTTCTGAAAACATAAAACGCAAAACAAAAGATGGTAAAGGACAAATTACGTTCAAAATTCTGCTTCCTCTCCTAACATGACGGACCCTGACCAAGGAAACAACAGATTCCGTTTGCAAACCTTGTTGTTGAATAATTCGTTGTAATATATCATCAGGGACCTCTTCTCCTCTTGCCATGGCATGCTTTCTTGCTTCAATCACTTTCCTTCCAGTTTCACGCAAAAACTGCACAGCCTTAACCACTTTTCGTTGGAATGGATACTGGAAAACGTTGAACTGCAAAAGAGTGGGGAAAAATAGGAACAAGTG